TCCACGCTCGCACCTTCCTTCACACTGTTCAGATTTGAATCTTGCGTCTTCTCGCACGAGAAATCCAATCTTTTCCCGTTGGAAACGTTAGATCTGCACAGACATTCCTTCCTCGGGCTCCATTTCAACGCAGCGCAGGTCTTTTTGTTTTTGCTCAATGATTTTATCACTCCGATGAAACCAGCTTTCAGTTCAGCTTCTATGGCGTTCCTCCAAACGGAATTTGGATTCGAGGAACACTGGCTGCACGTAAATTCGATAGTGTCGGGCAAGTAACTAAGAATTTGATAACGTTCGTCGGAAATCCCTTCGCAGTACGCGTGTACCCAGTACGAGCATTCGCTGCACTCCATCATCTGGAAAATAACGTGGTTAACGACAGTCAACGAGTGCAAAGGCCATTTCTATCAGAGTAAATCGACACACGATTGCACAACGTGTATACACGTAAATTGGAAAAAAAGAAAAAGAAAAAGAAAAAGAAAAAAAAAGAGAGAAAAAAACGGAAGAACGAAAACGAAACAAAGAAGAAGAGAAACACTCACCTTTGTGTCGAAATCGTTTTCGTTGTAACATCTTTGACACAGAGGACAGTAATTTCCTTTCTGACGTAATTTAAAACACATGGAGCATAATGGTAAATTGCCCACGTGGACGTTAACTCCTTCGCTACCGCAGCTTTTACACTTAACACAACTCTGACACACATAGGGTCTCTCGGGACTGTAAAGTCTCGCGCTAACGCCAGATTTTGACAAACACGAATGGTGAAATGATTGACGACAACGAATACAAGACAATTTTGGACCAGATCTTAGATGGCAGGATTGGCATATTGTACATCGAGGACAGCACCAGTTCGGTTGAGCACAAGCATTCCATTCACTGGGTTCCAAACAAAAGGCATGATATGGCTCACAACAGCATTGACAGTGGATCAGCTGCAAAGATTTTTCACAATGTACAACAATTATATGGAACGACGTATGGGTCCGTACGTTACTTACTGGCTCTTTCCCAGCACTTCCACAAAGGTAACAAATCGCAGGAATATGAAACAGTTCCGAACCGATGAGAGCAAAGCCTTTTGCACCGACTTCCGTGGGATCGTACTGTTCCCAGAAATCTATAGACACCGTGTGCAACGTGTCACTCTCTGCTTTAGGTACCTAGGCATAATATATATCACGTTACAGCGTTTACGCAAGTACAATTGTGAAAACTGTGTATCCGATAAATACCATATCCCTACAATATCAATTTTATCAATTCTCTGCATCGTTAGCTCTGCTCTGCTTACCACTTGAAAATTTGACGTTGACATATTCTGTGTTTGCGATTTCCCTCTTTTCGGGTGAGGTTGCTGCGTATTCGTATTCACTGCGATACCGTGATTTACAATATTCTCGTCGTTACGTTTCTGCGACTCTTTCTCCTTCTGCGTCTCGTCCTTCTTCTCTATCCTATCGTTTTCCTTCAAAGCTTTCGGAATGTGTTTATTGCTTTCGGTATCTTCCTTCCCATCTGCAGAGGGAAAAGTTGCAATTGGTTGGCCGAGAGCCACGCTCGCGCTTCGACAAACGTGTTTCACTCTCGGCCCTTTCAACTCCAGTCTCTGTCTCAGGGGTTGCGGACATTGATTCAAAGATGGTAACGAGAACATTGGATTCTTCAGTTTCTTCCTCACTTTTATCCTATTGTTTTTTCTTCTCTTTTTATTAGGTGATATATTCAACGACGAGTCGACTACAAGATTATCAAAAGTATTATTTATTTATGAATGACATTGAGGAAAATTTATGATAAATATAACGTAAATTATTAGCAAATTGTATATGTAAATTTGGTAATTTCAAATCGATCGTTTAAATTGTTTCTTCAAGTTGTTGTATTTTTAATAAAGTTAAGAAGCGTGTGTGTGTGTACATTCATATAAATTGAAAGTCTTACGTGTCTTACATTTATCCAACTTTGTATATAGGAAACCACCAGTGCCTTGAAAACTAGCTTTTTGACCTATTTCTATGTTCCTCCAGTTCATGGCTGACTTGAACAAGTTCTTCTCCGAACTGTCTTCCGCGGGCCAACCTAACTTGGAAGATATCAATTTTTGTCCCTGGCTATCGTGATCTTCTTGATTCAACATCAATGGAATATTCAGAGGATCTCTCATCATCGGTGGTAACAATGTGTTCAAGCCTGTTTTCAGAGAAGAAGGAATGTTGTAACATTTCAAGCACATCTTTAACCAACAAGCCGGGCATCTAGCCTTGTAAACGCATCTCATGAGATTCCATTGTTGACTTTTTACGACAGGCGGTACTAAGCATAAACCGTCGCCTTTGTGACACTGAAGAACTGGAAGCGTACTATTTGTAGATTTTGCGCAAGCCTGTCGTTTGATCATCTTACTGATAAACTTTCTACACGATTCGCAACTGTGAATACCAAATTTTCGAGCCTGTTTCACAAACCGATAGAACCGCACAGCACCACATACCCCACACTTGATGGTACCAGTTAAACCTAAATATCAGAAATGTAAAATGAGTTTGGTGACATTACTCTCCCTTACTTGGTGACAATAATTCATTCATTCAGAAGTCTTGTATCCTTCTACTTGTATTTTCCTTACTAGTTTATTCAACATCCAGGTAAATTGTAAGTTTCATACGTACCTAAATTACCATTTCCACTTGCAACGTTGTTGCTGTTTGTCGTCGAAAAGGGACCCTCGGTTCCACTGATACATTTGTTATCCAGCTTTAATCTCGCTTTCCTTAAAATAACTTTTCCACCGTTCAACTTCATCCCAGTCCATTCAGACTGTTCATCCTCCGTGTGATTACTATGCTCGCTCCCACTCTCGGACAATGTGCTTTCCGTGTCGAAATTATCTGAATTCCTGTCGGTACTTTTACGGTTGCAGCTATCAGCATTGCCACGGCTCTTTGCGCTATTGTTTTCCCTCACTTTTGTCACGTCTGCGAAATTTGTCTGAACTTCTAAATCAACCGTATTTTCATTTTGAGTTCCTGACCTAGTCTGAATCCTGGAAGACTCTGAACTTGGAACATCAGAATCGGGAAGAACTTTTGTAGGAACAGAAATTACCTTTTGGTTTTTGGAGACATTTAATTTTGCATGTTGAGCTTTTCTAGTTACATTTCGCACACCGTCTTGAATACCAGTGCATTCATCCGACAAACATTTTACCACTTTGCTTTTACCCAACACGTTTATCCTCTTAACATCTGTGCTAATAGTTTTTGATACTTGTGCGTCTTGTACAGAGGATGCTAACTTTTCAAGATTCTTCGCAGATTGTGTTACTACAGTCTGTAGTGGGGCAGTCTGTATGGAATGACTTGCACGATGAATGACCTTTTTGGCCCTGCTCTTTGCCTCTTTGTCCTTCAATTTCGTGTACAGTTTCGCAACGTTCCCCTCTTTCAGTTTCGTCTCCTGATTACAAAGTTTGTTCAATGTGAATTTAGCTTTCTTCACGTGCGTGCCAACTTCGTTCTCGCTGTGTGCTTCTGCTCCAGATATTTCCTCTAGCTCTTCGATGAACCTCTTGTTTGGCTTGATAACTCTGGACGAATGGGCACTTCGGACCGGTAGAATGAACTTTCTCACAGCGTTTGGCTTGTCACCGCATTGCGCTGTCATGTTACGCGCATTGTTGTTGCTGTTGGATTTCGCCCTCTGCAACAATCTCTTTGCAGTGCTGTTGCGCAGCTGTCTCGTTCGTTGATGCTGATCCAAGATGTTGTTCACTGACTTTAATACTGGCGTCTTCATGAAATTGGAGAACTTTATGTTTTTACAATTTCTGCGACTCTTGGACCTGTGGAACTTGGCAGCATGCTTGTTGGAATTTACCACGGTCACATCTTTCTTGTGATCCTCCTCCGCTGGCCTGCCTACGTTCTTATCGCCTACGCTCTTCTCTGTATTATTTTCAGTACGCGAGGCAAGATTTTTAATATCTGCGACATTCTGTACACTTTGCTGCGGCGCCGGACTGTCAACGGCATCAGGTTTAGGTTTAACAGTTGTTCCTGTTGTGTTGCTTCCTGTGCTGTCGTGCTGTTGCGTTTTCACGTAGGACACGGATAGATTAGCTTCCTTAGTGCTAAAGCCATGGAATGGTGGATGTTCCTGTGGGAGAAATGCGAATTCAGTTAAAGGGCAGCAAACGATACAAAAGTGTTGTTGTTAATTAAAAAATTAATGTAAACGGCTGGCGATGACAACGACAGCGATGTTCGACGATCTGGAGGTCAGGCATTGCTGGCCTTTTGTCCAGACGAAAAGGAAACAAGATAGGCATATAGGTGGTGTAGGCGGTTGAGTGAGCGGCTGGCAGGAGAGAAGAGAGAACTCGTTGGTAATAATAACGTTAAACGTTGAAGAAGATTTATCGCGGAGAGAGAGAGACACGGGGGTAACGGGGATTCTTTGACGAAATCGTTGACAGTTTCGGTGGCAAGCGGTACGTCAGTTATACGCATCGTTATAGTTATATATACGCATCCTGCCATTCCGAGTGAGTGACTGGCCGAGTGAGTGATAGGTTAACTTTCATTGCACAGGCAAACGTTGGGAGTTTTACTGGCGAGCGAATCGGCGCCGTATGCGTCGTTACGACGCTTACGAAACGAAATACAAGTTGCGTTCGAGTGAGCAGGAAGGAAGAGAGAAGAACGGTAGGGTTCGTAGCGGATCAGGCGGGCCCCGGACCGCCGAGCAATCCCCGCCAGTAGGTAAGCCAGGGAATACCTTCTCGTTGTCACCGAACGTTTCGTTGAACAGGGAAAGTCCGTAGTAGATGTTTTCGGCGACGGTTACCGAATCGCTTTGGGCTGTCTCGGGCTGGCCGAGAACCTTGATCCGTTTCCTGGTGACCGTCTTTGGCGGCTTCCCGGGAAACTTGGACCTTCCCATGTTCACTCTTTTCAACGGCCAACCTCAACCTCACAACGAAATTTTGTATC